GTATTCGCCTTGGGCGAGCTTCATGATGTTCTGCGTCGCGCGGGGGAGCGATTGATTAATTTGGATTTCGGGCGGGGCGAGGGAGGGAGGAGAGTACCTTGACGCGATCGATGATCTTCACCCGCCCGCACGCGTCGATCTCCGCGACGTCCCCGGTGTGCACCCACCCCTCCTCGTCCACCGTCTCCCGCGTGTTCTTCTCATCTGCATTGTTCGCATCGTCAGCGTCGCCATCATCGGGGCGAATCAATCAACGAATGAATGAATAAAGAAAGACGCGCCTTTATAGTAAGCGACGAAGCAATTCGGCCCGCGCGCGCAGATCTCGCCGCGCGGGTTGGGGCTGTCGTCGGCGGTGTAGCCCATGGCGGGGACGTCGACGAGCTTGATCTCCGTCGCGGCCTGCGGGGGGCCGACGGTGCCCGCCGCGCCCGGGTCCGCGGGCCAGCATTTCGTCGCCACCGCCGCGGTTTCTGTCATCCCGTATCTGCGGTTATTATACATACACGTTAGCGCGGGAGACGGGTGGCGGGGCGGGCGTTCTTACCCTGGAGACGGATACGAGGGGTATGGTGAGCGATGGGAAGGGAGGAAGGAAAGAAGGTGGGTGGGTGCGCACCTTCAGCAAACGCGCAGCTGAACGCGACGTTCATAAAATCCACCACGTCCCGGCTGATCGGCGCCGACCCACTCGATATGAGCATGACATTCCCGCCGAGCACCGCGCGCAGCTACCCGTGCACCCAAAAACGACACGCAATAAAAAAAAAGGATGGATCCAGTCAGCGTCAGCTTAAACCCAAACGCCCGCTTCCACCGCATAACCACGCGCACGACGCACCTTCCGAAAAACCACCCGATCCCAAAAAAAATGCGTATTATCCCCCGTCTCCCTAAACCTCTCCAACTTCGCCTTCATCGCGCGGCGAAACAAATCCCCTTTGAGGCCGGGGACGTCCGCGGCGGCCATGGCGGCCTGGTAGAGGCGGTTCAGCACGCGCGGGACGCCGGGGAAGAAGTGCGGGCGGAGAGCCTGGGTGTCTTCGAGGAGGCGGAGGGGCGAGTTGGTGGAGAAGCCGATGCGGCCGGAGAGGGCGGTGGTGATCATTTCGTTTACGCGCTAGAGGGTGGGTGCGTGCGTGCGTGCATTGAGTGATGGGGGTGGCAAGGGTGGGTGGAGCGAGGGTGGGTGGGTGGGAGTGAGGGATGGGATGGGATGGAGAGATGGATGGATGGATAGATAGATAGATAGATACGAGGGTAAGTTGAGGGGTGGGTGGATGGGATAGCATGGGGGTGGTACGGGGAGCGAGTAGGCGGACGCGGATGACATGGGAGGTGGCGAGAGGTGGCGAGAGGTAGGGAGTATGGCGGGGCGAAGGGCGGGGAGCGCAGGGCGGCGGGCGAGGCAAGGGGGGATGTATGCGCGCGAGCAAAAGAAAGGAGGGAGAAGTAGAGATGGAGATGGAGAAAGGGGGGAAGGAAAGGAAAGGAAAGGAAAGGAAAGACGAGGAACGGGAGGGAAGGAAAGGAAAGACGAGGAAGGGGGGAAGGGAAGGGAAGGATGCGATACGATGCGATTGCAATGGGAAGCAAGGAATGGAATGGGAACGATGGCACGGGGCGGACGGGGGGCGCAAAGGGGGGACGCAGGCGCAGGGCAAGGGGTGTATGCGCTGCGCGCGGGCGGGCAAAAAGGAGGGAGAGAAGGGGCGCGGAGGAGCAGGGCAGCGGCGGGCGGCGGGCGGCGGGCGCAACGGGATGTATGCGTATGCGCTGCGCGCACGGGCAAAGACGTAGGGAGGGAGGGAGGGAGAAAAGGGGACCGAAAAGCGCACCTCGTAGATGTGCGCCAGCGGGAGGTAGGAGAGCATGCAGTTGTCCTCGGGCAGCTCGAGCCCGAGGAGGTTCGTCACGACGCTGCTCGCGAACTGCCGGTGCGTGATCACTACGCCTGCGTCGACGAATTAAGTGAGCTTATGTACGCGCGTAGGGCGCTCGAGAGCGAGAGGAAAGAAGGAAGGGAGGGAGGGAAGTCACCTTTCGGCATGTTGGTCGTCCCCTGGCGCGCCAAAAAAAAAGAAAATGAGAGGAGTTGGGAGGAAAACGGATGGATGGATGGATGGGGCGCACGGAGGTATAGCATATCGAGGCGATGTCGGTGGGTAGGACGGCGATGGGCTCGGTTAGGTTCGCTTGGCCGAGAGCCTCGACTACGAGACACGCGTGAGAAGTTACAGACGACAACGACAACGACAACGCCGAGAAGACGGAGAGGGACGGACTTACTTTCGTGGATGTCCTTGACGAGGACGCCGTGCACCTGCCCCCACTCGGTGAACACCTTGCTGAGCTCCGGAGAGAGCGCGTCGACGCTGATGATGAGCTTGAGGGGCGTGGCGGGCGCGAGCTTGAGGAGACTCGGGATGTGGTCCACGGTTGCGAAGATGGCGGTCAGGTGCGCGTGGTTGATTCTGTCCGGGTGCGAGTCAGTGCGGGGGTAGAGAAGTGGGTGTGGTTGGAGTTACATGTACTCTGCGAAAGCGTCAGGAAATGGTCGAAGGCGATAATGGCAAACGCACCGACAGAGTCCTTGCCGAGGGTATCGTACAAGCTCACCCCGACTTTTTTGTAAGTTTGCAGGCTGATCTCGACCATCTGCCATTCTGCATCATGTAATGTAATCTCAAACAAGCCTCCGGCGGTAGAATAGAAGCGAACGCACCAGGCCGGTTGATGGACCAAATGCCGACCGTCTCGAGCTCCCCTCCGCCGATCACGCCGGTCTTGAAGAGATGGTGCAACGCGCTGCCGAGCTGGCGGCGGCGCACGTCGACCGCGCCGTACGAGTGCCATTCGTACCGGGGGGCGAACCGCAGAGGCTGCTTCGACACGATGGGCCTGAAGCCCAGGAACGGCCTGTCCTTCCCCCTCGCTAGACCGCTGGCGAAGACGTCCGCGAGGGTCTGGATGCGGTGCTTGGCTGGGTCGAGGGCGCCCCATAGGCCTGGGCGGGGTGTTAGCTGGTGGCGGACAGGGCAGAGGAGAGCGCACCGTTGACATAGTGAGCTGCACGACATCTGTGCTTAGTTTTTTTGCGCAAAAAGGGGATGCGATCAACGCACCGGTCTGGCCGGGGCGTTTGGTGCCAGGGACGGGGACCGACTGTTTGTCGTACGGCGCGTTGGCGGGGAAGGGGATGAGAGCGTCTGCGGCCAGGAAGGCGGACATGGAGGGAGAGGAAGAGGAGAAAGACGGATTGATTGAAGAAACGGAGACTGATGTTGCCGGAGACTTGCACATGATAGCGCATCTCTGACAAATCAAACTGTTTCATCACACGCCGAGTGATGCGGACCTGATCAAGGCACTTTGCATGCCATTGGAATTCGGGATGTACTCACTAGCCAGTCAAGGAATTTGAATCCGGAGGAGGGTATCTTTCACCGAGTATTTGGGCAGTCGAAAATCCGGAGCTCCTGAAAAAACACATCGGCCACCGCAGCTTGCTCATAAGCAGTATTGCGTACGAAGCCGGCAGCCGCGCGATGCGCCTCGAGTTGGACCTGCAGTACGCCCGAATGAAGTAAGGCCGTCGGCGAGAAACCACACACCGGGGGCCAGGTGAGGATGAAATTCAAAATTTCTGGAGAGGAGGCTGGACATCCGGATCCATTTCGATTGGACCGAAGCTCATTGACGACGTGGATATATATCGAACTGAATCAGACGCGAGTCAAGCAGGAGCGCCGCTTTGTTAAACTGGAAGACAGGGCGGGATATTTTGACTGGTACATATTAGGCCTCCCCCATGTGGCTAATGTTCCTGAGCCGGAGAATGGGCGTCTGTCCACTGCACGGGAGAATCGGTTTCAGGTACCGGTCGTGGAATGAAGAGGAGAGAATGAAAGAGAGATGCATAGCACGTTGTGGGTCAGTGTGTGTACGTACGTCCGCCTGTGCTTCTCCCAATGACCACATTCTAATAAATACTATTCGATGCCTGGTCCCATGGCCAATATATGTAGTACTTATATGACGCCCACTTCGTCCAGACGTTCAACACCTCCCAATGCCCAATCGAACCGCAGTCAGCCGTACTAGTCATGGACAAGGACAAGGCTATGCCGATTTGGGTCACTTCCACATAGAACGGTCTGGTCAGAAACACACAGTGGTGGTGGGCAATCCCGATTGTTCCGCCGTGACGATCACGTGAAGCGTCAATTGAGACCCGATCAATTTTCACTGACCCACAACCGTTTCAAGTTGGTTTGACCCAAGTTCTGCACATTTTCTCAACGTAAAGTACTCAAAATGTAGATAATATGTGCCATGATTCCCTGCCCCGATACCAGATATTTCCCTTTTGAATTGAAACTGCAGGAGCATGCCGAGTGGAGAGCTGCTGTACTCAGTGCCATCTGCTGTGAAACTAAAAAATCGAACTTGAGCCCCGAGAAAATTTGAGAGGTACTTGTGAGACACTGTGATGATATCTTGACTATATCCAGGGCTTTTTGAGGGTCTCTGGTCCATAAACAGGGTGTCTGAGCGTCAAATCACTATTCTGATGGCAAGCTTAAATAGGCATAAAGTTCAGGACTTCCGATCCGCGAACACATTTTTTGCCTTCCACACATAAATTCTGATGCGACTTCCGTAGTAAAAAATGTTCACAGGACCTATAACTGTGTTTTGTTCGGGGGGATTCTTAAAATATGACGACTGACCTCCAAAAGACACACTTTGATGGGTACTTTCCGGATATTTTTCTCGATTTTGAAGATTGAAAAAATTCCCCCGAACATAACACAGATGGTGGCCTTATGAGCATTTTCTATCTTTAGCATATATACCCATCGTGCCTGTGCACGCCAGAAAATGTGTTGCCGCGACTGGGTCAATCAAAGTGGCCGGTGTTCCGGCAACTAAAGCGTGGGAATCGAATGATGGCTCGGGGAATTGCCCACCACCACACACAGCGTTTCAATGAATACGGCGTCATAGCTCAGCTGGGAGAGCAACAGACTGAAGCTCCATCACACTGATAGGTGTTAATCTGGAGGTCCCGTGTTCAATCCACGGTGATGCCATCTCTTTTTCCTTTTTTTAACCCTTCTACCTTTTTCTAAGTACTTAGTTAAGGCGTCATAGCTCAGCTGGGAGAGCAACAGACTGAAGTACCCGTACACTGGTAGGTGTTCATCTGGAGGTCCCGTGTTCAATCCACGGTGATGCCATATTTTTTGCTCTTTACAAAACAAAACTGAAACAACTCCGTCTCCTTTTATTGTTCTAAAGTTAGTCTGGGGTGCTTGGGGATCGGTATTATAGTACTTGTTGAACTGCGAAGTCCAAATTTCTGGATAATTCACTGCCTAGTTGACTCTGTAGACGGCCATAAGGGCAGCAACAGGATTCATAAACTGCCGAAAGAGGATTTGTGGTGATTCATGAACCGCGCGCGTCTGGGAAAGAACCACTGTGCCAACGCCGGAGGGGAGCCGAACCCCTTCCTGCCTGCAGTACATGTGCCATACGAGAGCGAGAGGCGTAGCGCGAGCGCGCCCGAGTCGTACGTAGCGGGAATTCGGATCAAATAAGTATTTGGGGACATGGAGACGAATTTGGAATTTGGACCTTGGGTGGGATGGGATGGGGATGCGGCGCCGAAAAGGACGGAGGAGGAGGAGGTATATACATTTCAAGTGATTGCGAGTGAAAAAAAAAATCATTGCTTTCCATAGACTGATCAGTCGTTCTGCGCCGCAGTTCACCGTGCGCCATGTCCGATGGAATGAACCTTGGGAGGACGGACCAGATTGACGCTACAAGGACGATTTGCACTACGGACTTCGGTTCGCCCATCCAAGAAATGCATATCATGACAGCCATCGTGCAAAAAACAAAACACAAGAACAACTACACACTGGTCTTCAATTACACACTGGTCTTCTTCTCCTTCTCCTTCTCCTCGACGCCTTCCCCCTCCGCGACGGACGACCGCCCCGTGTCCGTGCCGGTGTCGTGGACGAGGCCCATGACGGACGTGTCGAACCCGTTCGCTTCGAGGTATTCGCGGAACTACAGGGTGAATGTATGTGAGTCCATTCATTAATGCATGCAATGGCGTAAGAGCAGGCGGACTACGCACGATCGCATCCTCCCGCGCCATCCCGTCGTGGTCCAGCGGCGCGATGAAGAAGAAGGTTACGAGGGCGCTGAGGATGGCCAGGCCTGGGCGCGCAGTCAGCTTCCGTGCCAAAAAGCGGAGGCGGAGGTGTAGAGCCCAAACGCACCGCTCCCGATCCAGAAGGGGCCCGTGTTTCCCCTGTCGGCGTTCTTTTTGGCGAATCCTGAGCAAAGTCATTTTCCCTCTCTTTTGTTTCTATCTACAAAGTGGTAGTGACGAACCATCAACGATGAAGGGGAAGACTGCATGGCAGAAAGCACAGTCAGCTTCCGTCTAGCACACGTGAATGTTCAACTAATCGCGGCTCACCCTCGGTCCCGATCTGCCATTGAACAAACAGATGAGAAACATCCCCACCGATATTGACGATAATAGGCTCACGAATGCGCCAACTTTCCCAATCGCAGCAGCGATCCCGTAAAATTGACCGCGCACTGCGGACGGGCTGCTCTTGCTCGCTAGCAGCCCGAGGTTGTTTCCCGGCCCTGTTGAAAGATCAGCGCTCGATACATTGTCATTGCAGCAGACACGACATACCGAGCTCGCCGAAGGACAGGAAGATGCCGTATACGACCTGCGAATTTTACATCCCGTCAGATACCTCGGAATCCGGGGGACGGAGAGGAGGCGCACCGCGAACGCAGCGATGTGCGTCTTCAATCTACATCACACGCCTTGAGTTCAGTAAAACGGGATGGGATATAGATGGACAACGGACTGAGAATACAGCCCGCTCATGATGAAGCCGATGAGCGCCTGGAGTAACAGACCGAGGATCATAGTATACTTCGGCCCCAGGGAGTCTGAGACGAAGGCGCCGATGACTGTCCCGGGGATGTAGAACAGGCTGCAGACGCGAGATGGGGATGGTGAGCGCGAGGGATAGATATTCGAAGGACGGGAAAGGGTACTTGATAACCACGGACCATCCGAACACGGTTGTGAGCGCGGTGTTGCTGCCCGTGATGCTATATGAATGGGTATGAGATAAGCGCTATGGCCCGAGCGGGGTGTGGAGACGGCGTACGTGTCGACGACAGTGGAGGAGTACAGACCGAACTAAGTAATGGCATTCGGTGGTGAGAGGGAAGGTGCGGAATGGGCAGGATGGGACGTACGGGGTATCTAAGGCGCGCGTCGCGTCGTCAAATTGCAGATCGAGTGATGGAACAGTAGACTGGACGCACGTAATGAAATCATACACGAACCTTCACGGCCATACCTCAATCAGCCGATATCAAGCCACTGGACACGACGAGGAAACTCACCACGTAAAGCTGATCGCCGCGAGCCGCACTCCGTACTTGCGCAGCACAAGCATATACGGGATGCGCACCGTCTTCATCGCGTTCTGTTTGTATAGATCTGGCTCCTCCATGGTCCACCGCCAAGCGAAGACGGCGGCGGCGGGGAAGAATCCGAGGCCCAAGGAAAGACGCCAGGCTGCACGGAGGTGGTTGGGGCCGCAACTAACCGCGCCGAAGACTTCTCAGCCCGCTGATGAAGGAGACATGATTGATAGGGACGCACATCCAGACCATGAGGAGCGTGATGAAGGCGGAGACGACGAAGGCGACGTCGATCGCTGTATCTAAGTGATTTCGATGATTTAGAAACGTGGTATGACCCAGGGGGAGAAGAAGGAGAGACGTACTTGTCGCGAGGATGAACCACCGATGCTGCGCGTTCTTCGCGATGGCTTTGCCCTCGGTCTGCTCCGAGGCGGAGACGGAGCCGCAGGGATACTCTGCCCCGATGCCGATTCCAAGGAAGAACCTAGATGGAATCAAAGGCGTTGTGAGTGTTCACGATGCGGTGGTAGAGGGGGTATGCGCACCGACAGGTAATGAGCATCGCGAGGAGGCCGTGCACATTGTGATGCGCGCCGGACGAGGTGGCAGAGAGCGCGGAGAAGAACGCGACGATTCCTGCGGCGGACATCTGATGCCAATGTCGAAGATTATCAGCGGACCGAATGGATGACGTCGCGTGGAGAATATCCCACTGACCATACCGAATTTCCGCCCAATCTTGTCAGAGATCCAACCTAACTAGCCCGTTAGAATGCGTCAGCAGGAGTGAAGCATCCCTTTCACCGAAGGTGAGCATCCCGACAATGGTGCCTGCGAACACGACACTATTGAGCGTGGTGCTGTACGACTGAGTCACCACATCCGTCCCGTAAATGCGCTTGAGAACTAGCAGCGGACTCCGATTACCTCTGGAAATGGAAGAAAATTCAGGACTGACGAGTATTGACTGGTAATGCGCGTCAGCAAGAATTTCACTGAGGAAGGGAATACGAACCGTTTCCGATGATTCCATTGCCGTAGCCTGGAAGTCATGTCAGCTTACGGACGGCGACACGCGATTCGAAAGAATGGGAGACACCATCAGAGAAGAGCGCGGTCCCGCAGCTGGACGCCGGAATCAGAAGTGTGCATTGCAGCGGGGTGTGTGACCACTCACGCAAAGATGAGAGATATGCCTTTGAGTCGCTCGCGGCGGGTAGGGGCAGCCATTGTGGTGGTCGGAAGCAGGATAGCTCGCTTGACCGAGACGGCTGGTTCTGGATGCGTTGACGGATCGGCGATAGATACCACCCGCCCGCTCCCTCGTCCGCCAGTTACCCGGTGATGCTGGCCAGAATAACTGCCGGAGAACTGCAACGTTCGTCAGATCTCAATCGGATTGACTTGCCGCATCTTCGGCGGATCCTAGAATGAACAGAACAACGGCGGGGAAGAGCCCAAAATGAGTCTGCACCGCTGGTCAGCTGGTTGGGCGTGTTGGACGTGTGAACTCCGCTGTATCAGCCTCTAATTATAAGTCAGCAGCCGCGGAGCGGCGGCGGGACTAGCCGACAGTTCGAGACCCGTCTTGACGTACTTGATGGATAAGTTGCAGTGGCGGGGACTCACTCGGCAGAAATGCAGCGATATTTGGCCAGCCGATTCATAGATGTCACTTGAAAGAGCTCAGTCTCTAACCAGAAGATGGTACTTAGCCGAAAACGCGAATAAAGAGACCTCGAGTCATTCTGGCAGAGCTCGAGAACCCCACTGTTTTCAAACGAGACGGTCAGTCTGGGAACTCATCTGCATATCTATACTATAATACAGAGCAGGGGGACAACTATGGAGGCCCAGACCTCCGGCATCTCACGCGTGCCCGAAAAACTCGGCAAAACCCGGTACCTCGGCAGGACTCGAGCTGGGCCGAGAACACCGAGAAGGGCCCTTTCCGTGCCGAGGCACTTGGCAGGACTCGTGCCGGGACATCATGGAAGGCATCTGACCTGGGCCGGCCCTCGGGAGACCCAGAAACTTGGCAGGACTCAAGCCCGGGCCAGAACACCGAAAAGGGTCTCTTTTGTGCCGAGGCACTTGGCAGGACTCATGCCGGGGCACCATGCACCGCATCTGACCCGGCCCGGCCCTCGGGAGCTTGGCAGGACTCAAGAGCATGCACCGGCCGAGACTTGGGGCAAAATCTTCACGGGAGCTTAGCAGAAGTTGGGATTCAGAGCACGCCGGGATGAGAATGAAGGACTTATGTTGTATATTGCGATAAATGCTCATACTAGTGAATGTCCGACAGGATGGGGCCAGGACAAAAAGAAAAGGAGGGGCTAAGCAAAAAAAAAAATTGGAGCTCGCGGGCGAGGATGGTTCCAGAACTAAAAGGAAAGGGAGGGGGACAGGTGCAATATATTCTTCGTCTTACCGTCAATTTTTGACGGGCTTACCCTAGTACTCTGCATATTCACATGCAAGACACAAATCGTGGACGCAATCGCCGCATCTAGCCCAGATATCATCGAATTGACAAAAGCGACGTAATGTTTCGGCGTCAAGAAAGCCTGTGCGAGTCCAAGAATGCCGAGCAGGCCAGGCGGCCCAGGCCAGAGTTTTTCCTCTCCGTAGGCCAATTATCTCACGTATAATGATGAGGGAAATGATTCGGATATGCCGAAAGTATATTCGAGTCCCCGGGAAGCTCCTCGCGCAGCAGGCAAGAGATTTGAGGGTGTGTCGATGGTGGCAA